GGAAAAACCTGTGAGGAGAGGCAGTGAGTGAGATGCTGACTTGTGGCTCAGAAGAGACAGGATCCCAAATGCAATCACCAGCTGGCAGGGGTAGGGTGTACAAAGATTCCCCAGGTTTCAGGTCTTCACATGAGAACGGGGAGGTCATAGACTCACTTCCTTCACTAGCAGTTGAGCTGCAGATCCTCCTTAAGTCAGCACACTACCTTTGAAACTCCCTCAGAGAAGACCTGCAGCATCTCCCAGCCAGACCCCCGTAGCCTTCGTATGTCTTTTCATTGCAAAAGTGGTGTGGGGCTCTTAGTGTAACTTGCCATGCTGTTGATGAGGCAGCTAACTGATGTAATGGGACATAGGATGTGGTGTTTCTCTTTGTAAGGAAAGGACTAGCTGATCAAAGGGGAAATGGGAAGGACGCAAGGGAAACAAGGCAGATAAATTCAGAGTGCCCACTTACATCATAAAAAGTAATCTGAGAGAACTGAGACTTTTTTGAGAATAGCCTCTGATTCCAGTAAATCCAAGCCTGTGGTGGATTTACTCAGGGAGCATTTCTAACCTCAAATCACCTCTCAGGGACAACTCATGTACCTGAGAAGCTATGAAGAGTTCACTACTAGTTTAAACTACCCTATCAGGGGGTGAAAATGTTGCTCATGTTCGGGTAGCAATGGAAAGATCAGCCCTAGAAATGGAGCTTCCTACTTAATCCAAAGCAGGATAGCCAGAAACACGTAACTGAAAGCCTAGGAATCGTGGTCCCAAGGACAAGACTGGGGCTCTCTCTAGCACGTCAGTTTGGACCACAGCTCCAGGATCTATTGAAAACAAATACAAATCTATGTTGTTTTCAGGGAGTTATGTTTTGGTTTGTTTTTTGTTTGGTGGGTCCCAGTTATTCCAAGCAGAAATATATCTATTAGATGTGGAATTCAGAAAACCTTTTTGCCAAGAATCCTAATCCAAAAGGGTAAGTGGCTGTTTTACAACATCCAGTTGTGCATAGCATCCAATCATTAACAATGCTCCCAAGAAGGAAATACATCCAGGTGCAAGGACTGAAGATATCATTTATTCAAGGGCAGACACCTAATTAGTGTAAAATGGCAACTGTAATGACATTGCCTGACTCAGGAATGTCTTGATTTCCACCAACTTGTCCCCTCCTCCCCCAGGATCCAGTAAAATCCAGATTTCCCAGACTTCTGCAGAGCAGCAAAGAGGATGCATGCAATCCAGGTTACCTCTGCATCAAACCTTTGATTGAGTTTGCCCATAAAGCCACATTCTGCTTGGGAAAGCAGATGGTGAATATCGTAGCATTTATTCATTCAAATCACCATTCCATTCAGGAGCGAGCTTTTGGCTGCTGCTAAACAAGCATTTACACTGGTTAGAATGGAAGATAGGGAAGGACTGAAGGAATGAAATACCAGAGAATCCAGCAAAATCAGCTTAGCACTGGGTGGCTGCAGGGCAGTAGAGGATCAGCGTAAGCCTCTGCCACATGCTAGAGGGAATGTGTTGCAGAAGGAAGTGACTGCCAGTGAGGCTGCCTATTAACCCAAGGGAACAAGGCTCTACTGCTGGTGAATAAATTGACTTCTCTGTGTGGTGCATTGTTTTACAGTAGTACTCTAAAGATACACTGATAAAGGCACTAACACACACATTGTTCACTATCTCTAAGATTTAAGAAAAAAAATAGAAGACATTGATTAAATAGGCATCTGTGGTATACAATGGGGAATTACCATCTAATCAAGAGTGGGAAGAAATTAACCCAAACACCACAGGGTTTTGTTTTCTTAAGCTGTCACAATCAGCAGAATTGCCTGTGTCCTTCCATCACAAGTTACCTGGTATTTCAGGCTTGTACAGTTGCTAGTGCTTAACACACCCACAAGAGTCTTGTACAATGCTGGTAGAATCCCTGTTTTTCTCCTTTTTCAGTTTCCCCACACGCAGGAGGTTAAATAACCTGCACACTCTTACAAAACATAAAAATTAGTCTGGTTAGCTACAGCAGACTCACGGAAGACACATTAACTCTAACCTGTGGAAACAAGCAGAAGGGAGGTGGGCTCTTACTTTCCTGCAAATAGTTAGATCTTTATACCATCCTTTAGACCTTCCATCAAGCCTTTAATATCATCCAATTCAACATTTCTATTATGGTGCTAAATATTTTTAGGTCTTTAAAACTGTCTCCAAAGCTTTAATGTTTGTATATTTGACATTACATAAGATTAAGGTTGTACATTCAACCTTTTATCATGTACCTATCTTGTCTGAACCACTTCCTTTGTAGGATTTACTATCTAGTTTCAAAAGTTCTTAATTAGTGATATACTTCAGCGAGATTGCAAATTAAAGGCTAACCCCGTCTGCCTCCATCAGGACAGGACTGAGTGTAAGAACTGTACAAGCTTAACCTAGTGCTTTTATAGTGAAGTGAGGGATTTTAAATAGGATTCATTTGTGCCAGACCAATTTCATCTCTCTATGCTAGGCTTATTTATCAAATTCACTTAACAGGAAAAAACTCAGTCTGAAGATCTTTGCACAAGGGGAAAAATAAGGGCACTCATTGTCTTTTGGGGGACTTCAGAAAACATACTGTAGGGCCTGCAGACTGCAACAGGTCCAGAGAACACAGGCATTCTCCCCATGCAAACACAGATTTCAGAGGGCCTTCCAGAAAAGAACTCACAAGCTCCTTCCTATGATTCTGTATCCTTTAAACACAGCAACTGGGGCCCGATAGATTGCAATAGCTAAGAGTCATGCCTTCCACCATGGCTAACAGACCTTCCTTTTCCCCATCCCAGCCTGACAGTTTTTTCTCTTTTCTTGTAAAAGGACATGCCATGTTCACTGCTTCCTTTCTCCCTTTCCATTATCAATTTTCATTAAGCAGCTTACAGAGCCAATTATGGGCTAAACTGGGTAGAAAATGCCCTCATTCTGCAAGTCTGCACAAAGTACTCCCTTGAAGGAAGACAGAAAAAAAGGCAGCAATCGTAGGATAACCCATCTGTAGGTGGCCAACTTCAATGTTATTTGCTGACTTTTCACACAGTGAAAGTTTGTTTTACAACAAAAGCTCATCACTTTCTCTTGATTATGCATTTACAGTTTTAATCCTGCAAAACTCTCAACCTCGGGAAGGGTCATGTAGAGCAAATTAAACAACTCATGTGCAAGTGTTGGCTCTTCTCACTTTTGCTGCCATTGGCCATTTTCTTGAACGCTCTTTTTAGTGACTAACATACAAGCTGACCCGAAGGACCTTTCAGCCCTGAGTGAAGACAGGATTATTTTTATTGTACACTAGATCAGATGTAGATCAAGCAGCAATTTATTTTAAAAAGGCATTCCCTCACATGCCTGCCCCCCCCCCCTTCTATTTTTAAATGACAGTCAAATACAAGGACAAACCAGGAAGGTCAGCTTTTGCAGGACAGTGATTACTGGACCCAGTAAAACTGCTAGAATTTTTTCACCATTCACAAATTCGATAAAAACCCCAAGTTTTGCATTAGCTCACTGTATGCAGAGTTATGTGACACACTGCAACAGGAAATTACTGACAAGATGTTTGCAGTGAGAATTAATAAGGACAGCATTAGATTTCAGATCACACTCTCTTTTCAAATCTGCTGATTTAAAGCACCCTAAATGTATTTTTTTCAGTAATAATTCAATAATTTACTTACCAAAGAGCTAGCTGAGACTTTCAAAGTTGCCTCTGGACAAGAAAGATTTGTTCAGCACATTAAAGATGCCAAAATATAGCAAAGCTATCATTAAGCCAACTGGCCTCTTACTAAGATGAAAAAGCCATTTTTCAGTAGCCATTCACTTGTCCAGGAACACAGCATTACAAATACCAACTCAGGATTAAGCGGTCCTGACCACAGGGTTTTTACTGTGTGAAAAGCATGATCTTTTCCATTACTGTGCATCCAATTTTTTATACAATACCACCCAAAGCCTCACCTTTTTTTGTCTAGGAATGCTTTGCGTTCATACTTTCACAATAATGGAATTCTGCAACACTGCTTACTGTAGACAAATCTTACTAATTCACCTATGTCCATACAACACTGCCTCCATCTCAGGGTTTCATCAGCCATCTAAAGACACCGCCAGAGACCTACGTAAATTGTTCCTTCCATCAAAACCTGTGAGAACGAGCACCATGTATGTGCAGGTGGGATCATGTGTTGGTATGCTACACAATTCCAACAAGCCTTTTATAACAACATTTCTTACTGATCATCTCAAGGTAGGGTCTATTTCTAATCAGACAATGACAAGAGTTCAGACACCATGCTATTAAGGATTTAGAACCCAGATATGGATCTAGCTGCTCTTTTGATTTGTTTTAATTCTTAAGTTTATATTATCAGTATCAGGTGGCTAAATATAGGCTAATCTTCTCTAGAAACTGCTAAAACATAATGTAGAGTGGGCTTCTAACTTGGCATTCCGAATAACAACCTTATCAGAAGTACACTGTACAAAAGAAACCATCACAAGTAAATCAGTGTTTAAGGAATTTTTATTAAACCAAGAATTTTATAATCCAAATTACGTTTCTTTGCTCAGCTATCAATTCTCACTGTCAACTAAAACAGTGGTGATATTCTGAGCTTTTCCACAGTAAAGAATTACAAAATTAAAGAAAGGAATGCTTTAAATTTTTGTACTGTGCTGAAAATTCTTTTCCCCCGGGTTTATAAAACATTAATTTGTATTTTTTATTTTACTATTTTTTTTTAAATTTTAAATCAATAAGTAATCTAGGACTAGCATTTGTTTTGCTAGCCCCGGCGTTGCTCTGTACATAAGCTTCAAAGTTTCCTTTCCTTTTTTTATTTATTTTATATTTTGCAATGTTTTTCTCAATATTTAATAGTTTTTCCATGTTTAGATTTTTTTTTTCTTCGGTGAAGCGAAGTTCTAGATTGTAGTCCCGGATCTTTCTGCAAACAAAAACAATGGTGTTAGGTTTTAGAATTAAAGCCGCACCTTATGTTTTCTGACATGCTTTCTGCAACCATAAGCCTGACAGTACTTTGGGTTTTCACAGTATCAATCATACCAAAGTTTTCTACAGCACTGTATCGAGAGATATTTTACTTTAGAGGCATGGAAGTAAAACATCCAAAGTCTGTGATAGTTGGAAGACAAAACTAAGTCTAGAACTAAACAGTACTCTGTGCAGCATGGCCTTGGACAAGGGCTACACACAGTAAGTTGTTACTGTAACTAACATGACTGCAGGTCACCTCTACTCTTAAGGCCAGCACACCCAGGCTCATCAAGTAACTACACTAGCAGTATTTTCACTTTCCAATTAACTAAAATGTCATGGAACATATGGAGTAATGCTAGGTTTGGGCATCTCAGTTTAGGAGACAGAACTTATTCAGCACTTGCTTATCTCCAGTGTGAAAGTGTCACTAGCAAAAAAAAATTATGGAAAAAGAAAGAAGCATGGAAAAAACATGACTCAAATTCTGCCTCCAGAAGGAAAGTTGCAGAAATGAAAAGATCAAGAAAAAGAACATCTGAAGTGATCAAATGTTAAAGCAGCCATCTTCAACTGACATCTATATATGTGGAAAATAAGTTCACCGACAGGCAAAACCTAACTGGACTGAATAGAGAACAGACTTCTGTATCATCCTCAACTCCACAACATTTTTTCCTTTCAAAACAGTAAAGATACCACCTTTTGCCTCTTTCTGTCATGCAAAAATTAAGATACTAACCCCACAGAAGGCAATAAAGAAAGTCAAGATTTTAATTGACATCAAAGTTAAATTCACCAAAAAGTGAAGTCAAGAAAATATGTAATTTAGTGTTTAATTACTGTCTAATTTTAGATTCTGGCAAGTATATACAAATTATAGTTTAAATAAGTATTTCACTTCTAAAGAAAAATAGGCTTGGAGTATCATTTTAGCTTACTTCAATTCCCCAAGTTCCACTTGAACAACATTATGAATAGTGGCATTTGACAGAACCACATGTTTCTACATGCATGCCTAGAACTAATTTCAACTAAATATGCTGTTAATTAAATATGCAAGACAAAATGTCAGTAGCATTTGCTGACCAAGAGCTACAGAATTGGACAACAGGATTGAGCACGAAATTTGTTTACAACTGTGACCGTAGCTGCTACTCTTGGTATCATCTGCAGCCACAGAACTTAGAGTCATGCTGCTTACAAGGCCATGAGTTTCCCCAGTCAACCTATAAAACTACAGTGCTCAGAAAACTTACTTATTAAACACTTGGAACTCCAGTAGGGTTATTAACTGCCTTTTGAGCAGCCTCTTTAGCTTGGTGGGCTTGTAGTACGGCTACAGCTTCATCAACCTGTTATGTAAAAAAGGAAAAATTAATAAAGGGAAGCTTAGTAATATGTACATTTAAGTTACTGAAACAGTTTAAATTATACAAACAATGCCTGCATTGTTAAAAAGAAAAGGTTAACATTACAGTTCCAGTTCATGCTAATTTAAGCCACTGCCACCCTTGGACAGAACATATTTTAACTTCTTGCCCTGGGCTACTGTTGCACTGCTGCTACTTCACCATGCCAGCATGAACACCTGTTTAATCAGTGTAAACTTAACTGCTGATATAACTAGTGTAAGGCAAAAGTGCACCTACCTTCGAACGAAGAGACTCAGGAGACTCGAGCATGTGGAGGAGTTCAGAGTTGTCAATCTCCAACAACATACCAGTGATCTTACCCGCCAGAGTAGGGTGCATGCTTTGAATGAGAGGAAATAGACGTTCACCTGGAGAGAAAAAAGTGCATCAGTGACAAATTGCATCTGACAAACACAGACTAGATTTAAGGGAAAAGGGAAACAAACACCTTGTTCTACTGCTAAAACCATTTACTCCATATTTTAAGATTGAGTAGCTCAACTGTCCTTTTGCCACAACTCAGAAAAAGCTATCACGTACATACCTAACATCTGCTTTTGTTCTTGTGGAGGGGCAGAAGCCAACATGGAAGCAGTCAAGGGTTCCTGACCTTGCACATGGACAGCAGGCTGCAAATTAATTTAACACCATTTCAGAGTTAAATTCTAGTTCATAATTAGGTGCAGCTTCAAATATCCAATGTTCCACAAATCAGCAAAAACAATGCCTACACTGTCAGAAACATGGAAGAAATTACTACTAAGTCAATTTAAATCAAATAGTGCTGGTTAGAGTGGAGTGATGCTGGAGATTAGTATCAACTGCTCTGTTGCAGAGCCAACATAAGGTATCAAGCAACTGGAAAATATGAAGCAACACGGGATCCCATCCTGTTCCAGGTGAACTTGAAATATACTTAAAACCTCAAGGCTATAACTCTGCTGCTACAATGCAGACCCTGAATTCTAGAATAACAGAGACAACTCATAGCCATAAGCACCCCCCTCCTTCCTCTGAAAAAAACACCAGAAAAAGCATAAGCTGGTTCCTAAAATTACATACCTGCTGCATAGCAACCTGTGGCTGTGTATTAAGATGCTGCTGAGGATTACGAACACCTGCAGCATATTTGTATTGTGGTACTGTGCGTACAGCAGGAGTAGCTGCAGTAGCTGCTGCTGCAGGACGTGGACCCATTGTTTGTGTTGATGTATTAGCTGAAAAACAACACAATTCCTTATGTGAGTATAAATTTAGCCTACACTGTACAAGTTACAAAAAAACCCCAAACCACCCCTCAAAGGGAATACCTAATTTAGGTATTGTATTATAGATTCATCTCAGTAGTATTTTCAACTATCACATCACTGATCATATCATATCTGAAGGTTCAAAGCTCAAAATTCACTGGATGTTACTTTCCAGTCACTTCACTAATGAATTGTTTTTCTGACATGCTACTGAAAAAAAGATCTGTAAGAAAACATTCACTTTGGTTGAGTTTTAATTTAATTCTAACCTCAAAGGACATTTGATTTCTCGAGTACCTTACATCAGTCATCCTAAAAAAAGATACTTTCATGAAGTAGATCTAAAAAACCACTACTGCCTAATACATTCTGGAGAATTAAGACCCCATTAACAATCAATTTTGGTTCATTCAGTGATGTGCAGATTCTGCAGACATGACAGTGGCTCACAGTATTCTATGACAAAATTAATGCTAATATTCTCAGTATTGCTCCATGCAACCCATTATTACAATTGCCACAACAAAGTTTGGAAATGGCAGAAACTGTCATACAGAATTCATGAAATGCACACTCTAAGTAAAAATGCTTCATGATAAAGAAAGGAGGCCACAGCACTAGTCTTTGCTGGGACAATATTTAAAAGCAACTACTAGAAGTTGATAGTAGCTTACTCACCCCTAGTAAGAGCCAGAAAAAGAGAGAAGTGTTACCACATGTGATATTGAACTTAACAAATGCTTTTGAGAGATCATTCTGAATCAGCAAAATTAAAGAATAAGTTTAATACTTAAAGTTTGCATAAATGAAACTCACCAACACGTTGCGTTGACATGACTCGTGGAACTTGTGAAGAAGCTGGTCTCATGGTACTAAATGGTGGTCTGGGTGCTGCTGGGCGGATAGCACCAGGCATGTTTTGGAATGCTACGTTTTAAAGAAAATAAAGTTACATGCTGAAACACGGAATAGTGAAAAGAGTTCAGAAGTAATACCAGTACTATGACAAAGAGAAGACTGATATTGTAATTCTGTGACAATGTATTTAAAAGTGCAAAGGTAAATGCTATGGAGGTTACTGGCGGTTACCACAATCACTGGAAAGGTAAAGTAGTGACTTACGATGAGGTCTGGCACCCTGAGCAGTCCAGCGAGGACTAGGTCTAGCAAGTTGAGCAAGTTGATTAGTAGGATAGTATGCAGCACGGTTCTGAGTCTGTCAAATACAAAAACATTGTTTAACTTTGCTGTCTTTGAAGGGCATGCTGAACAGTTCATCTCCTTTCTGCTATGAAATCAGAATGATGCAATTACTGACAGATAATAGTTACATTTATTGTTAAACATAAACCAACTTTATACATAGTACAAACCATTCAGTTAACTCATCTCTATACATACCTGTGGGATAGCTGCCATAAAGTAACCTGAAGGAGGTGCTGGTTGGTAAGGGTTGATTACAGGATTAGGTACTGCTCTTACACTTGCCATTCTCTGCATATACTGGTTGGTGAGATGAGCTTGGCGCTCTTCTTTACGCTGGGCTAGAGCTACATATAATGGTTTAGTAGCCACAATTCTACCATTCATTTCTGTGACAGCTTTGGTGGCTTCTTCTGGTGATGAGAAGCATACAAATCCAAATCCTTTGCTGCGGCCACCTTCCATCATGACCTGTCAGTACAAAATTTAGTTTTAAAACATGAGAATGCTGTATCTACTCAACCTACAGGAGTTTCTTTTTTCAGCTTACTCGAAGTGAGACCACAGGTTTGTTTTACTGATTTATAAAATGGAATAGAATCGCTTAATTGATAGCTGTTTACTGGATACAGATGAAAAACCTCATGAAGTAGTAATGAGCACATTATTGCACTGAAAAGATGTCATTTTTCTCACCTTAATATCAGTATTCAGTTTATTTCAAGAAAGGATGATCATATGTGTTTAACCTGAGACATACAATAACCAAGAAAGCAGAAGTCCACATATATAGCAGCAGTGGTAAGTGACTGGGTTCCATCTCTTAGTGAATTAAATCACTCTTCCTTGGTGAAGGATCATTGTTCATGTTCAGAGAAAGAACAAGCAGAATCTCTGAAATTTACCTTTGCACTAGTGATTGTACCAAATGGGGAGAATTCTTTTCGAAGACGCTCATCATCAATCCCATCATCAAGATTTTTCACATAAAGGTTTACACCCTAAAAAAAAAAAAAGCAAGATATTTTTGAAAGCAAATGGGCTGTGTAAATCTAAAAATATCATAGTATAAAGTAAGTCCTCTTGAATTCAAACTGAACCTGGTATCTGGTGATCCTGTCCTGCTTCATTTGTTCAAACTTGCGCTTCAGCTCCGTCTGTCTTTCCACCTTTTTCTGAGCCCGGCCAACGTAGATTTGTTTCCCATTGAGCTCTTTTCCATTCATCTCATCTACAGCCTTCATTAATAAACAAGAGGTTAGCAGTACTTTGTATTCCAGTGGTTTTTGGGCATACAAAAAATAATGTAATTAAAATATAAAAAGTCACATAAGGATTCCAGGAGTCAATCCATCTAAAATATCACTAGCTGAAACAAAATATCCCAAGACTTCTCTGCTTTAAGTAAAATGGAAATTGCTTTCTGAGTGTGCTTCTGTCCAGTTAAAGTCACAAGGGATGCAAAAAACATTTCTTATATGAAGTTTAAAAAAAAAACCCAACAAGCAAGTCACACAATGAAGAACTATTTCTCCAGCCTTATCTCCCTTAAGGCATAGAAAAGAAAGCAAATTAAGCTAAAAAGTTTTAATTCATACACCTGACTTCAGTT